TAATTACATGTTTGTTCATAAATGATATAATATATCCATCCATTCAGTCTGTATCTACTTGTCCTTGCAGGGTCACAGTAGGGTGGGCTGGAGGTTGCCGGTGTCTCCACAGGGTACACACTATGCATGCCGGCAGTTTATCAAGAGCGACACAGACATGAAAAACAGCCGTGTGAAAACAATGACAGTCACACATCACATTCCCAATGACAATAAAAACAGACCAAGTGACCTATCATATATAGTAATATAATATGATATAATATAATATAATAATATAATGTAATGTAATATAATATAATATGATAAAAATGATAAAAACAAAAATCATGATACTGAAATCACCTCAATTGCATATATATATAAGAAGTAAGCAAGCCTGATGGAGTTCCTGCTCCTGAACTATTATTTTATTGAGCAACACTTTAGGACACTCAGTGAAATTAGGTGCTTTCTGCGATGTTCAGAAAAAAGTCAGACCTCCAAACTTGTTGACAGGTATGTTGGTTCCCTGTTCATGAGTAAGGTACTTTGTCTGGCAGGTTTGTTTTTTTTCTTAACTTTCTTTTGAACAAAAATTCAAATTCAGTATATTTAATATTTTATTTAACTAAATTAACATCTAGTATTCTTTTACATTTATTATTACTTTTCTCAGGTTTGTGTTATTTGAAATTTTTACACTAGTGTGAATTCATAATTTTCTTAAATGGGAGGGTATGTAAACTTTTAAGCACAAATGTATTCCTCATTATCTGGCCAATGAGCGAAGTGACTTGGGCCTGGGCAGTGGAGAGTATCCTCTAAAGTTAAACAGATCATACGCAACTGTATGAATGTTTAAGCCCAATCAGTCAACCCTTACCCCAAACACTCTGACATCCCAGGGCTGTTTCCTCAGCCCTATTCTCTATACAGTATTTACTAACGACTTAAAACACTACTGTTAAGGATTTTATTTCTTATTTCTTTCAATATTTTTTTGCCCAAAAGAAGAGGTCTAGGTCTTGACATTGTGATGTCTGTAAAACAACCATGAACTTCAGATAATCTGATAAGACTAAGAGACTGCATGTCTGTTCACTTCTCTGCTGATTTTACCTGGAACAGCTTTGAAAAGACTATCCTACCTTCAGAAAGTTAAAGTGCATCAACCATCCCTACCTTCTTACAAACTTCTACAGGGCAGTGATAGAGAGGCTCCTGGTGCATTGCTACTCTGTGTGGTTCTCAAGCTGCTTTTAGCAGAACAGGACGAACCTACAGTGGTTAGTGAGGGCAACAGAATGTGTTATCTGATCACAGCTATCCTCACTGACAGACATTCAAACCTGACTCCAAAAGAAAACTGGGACCAGTGGAACAGACTCCAGTCATCCCAGAACCCCTTTTTCTTCTATTTTTTGCACATGTATCCATAAAAAAAACAATTTTCAGAAAAAAGAAAGAAATCCAGCAGACATAGTGTGTGATTGACAGCTGATATGTAAGAACTCTTTGTTCAGGTTATGGTCAGGGTGACTGTACATATAATCACTGAACAGGAACAATAATAAGATGATGTATTTTTTAGTTAAATTAAAGGTTAATGTGATATTTAGTTCCCCAAACTGTCTGTTGACAAAATGATAATTGACAATGAGCTCCATCTAGTGGAAAACAAAAGTATTTTATCTTTTTTTTTTTTTTTTTAGGTTTTAAAGATATTTAAATTGGGAGATCTGATCAGGAATAGAGATGTCTTTATTTTCTATTTTTTCTATTGTCTATTATCTCATTTTAATTTCCTTTATTTATGGACAGACAGGTAACAGCCTGGCTTCTTTCTGCATAAAGAATGTTCTCCCTCTGTATGATCGTTGTGTATGGCTGTTTGTTCTGCATCTCTACAGTGTGATAGACAGGAGGCCTGTCCAGGATATAGCCAGCCTCTCATCCTGGACAAGATTCATTGATCAAAATGGTCAACATAAATATGAAGGTAATATTGAATCAAAACCAATTCTGCACTGTAAGTGTGAATTTGAAGCTGCAGGGACAGTTAAATTATAAGTTTGGTAATTGTAGAATTTATGACATCAGGCTGCGCATTCTGCTGTACGACCAAGGGTACTACCAACAAGTCACGCATCAATTATACCGGTGTGATATTTGGGTCAAAAGTGAAAGTGTAGGTGTAATTTGTAAAGTTGAATTTGTCACTTACAGTCACAAATTCGTTCAATTGTATTTATTGTGTTGTATTTGTGTTAAAGAAAAACATATGTAACAAATTTGTGAAGATTTAAATACATGTGTTTGAATTTGTTTTGTACCATTTGGTTTAGATCAACGGAAGACATTTTGTTGTAATTGAGACAGATAAAAAATATATATCTACAATTACAAAACTCCAAAGTCACAAAACACAAATACAATAGTTCTGGACCATTTGGAGCAACTGAATATGTACTGTAAGAGGTTTTTAATGTGCAACTTGTAGAACACAATTTGTGTACTTGTATTTAATCATGAAAAGGTCTAAAAAAAATTTTTTACTTGTGAATTTAAAAAAATATGCAACTTCATATTCACACTTAAAATGCACAAATAGTTTTGACTAAATATCACCTTCATACAGGAACGCCAAACACTGAATGGGTCTTTGACATCTAGTCACATTAAAATACAACACCAACATGTTAGTTCCCTTAGTTTTGACCCCAGCACTGAAAGGGATCAAACTATCATATTATCATGTTTATGTGATTTCTGAACAGAGATATATGATCTGAGAGCAACATTGTTACTAATTTATTTCATTTTGATTTTGAACTGATAATGTTTTTACAATATATTTCTAGGGAGATTTAGACAGAAACCAGGAGTGATTGCAAACGTAAATCATGTTAAATGATGAGCTATAACATAATTTATATGTAATAACTGACACTGTAATCTACAGACACTAACATCCTGATATATTTGTTAAAAATCAAATGAGAAAAACACATTCATGATAGTTCAGTCAAAGCAGCTTTGTCAAAACTCCTCCCAGGCAGAATGAGACAGTAGTTGGTGGTGAATTAGGTTTGCCGGCCAGACTCCATTTAGGGTTCCAGTGATACTGAGGCTTTGAGAATGACGTGAAGCTGAGTAAGTCCCATCTGCTACCTGCTGCTCTTTAGCCACTGTTAAATGGATTAAACCTGGCACACAAACTGCTGCAGTGCAACATGGAGTGTTATATGGTCCAGACTGTGTCTTGTCCATATGTAGGTGGTCACAAAGCAGTCTGTTAAGTTTCCGCTCAGCCAGCTGTTACAGTCTGTGGTCCAACCTCAGCTCTCAATCTCATCTTAATTACTTGGAGAACAACTTATAAAATAACAAATTTACTGTCTCAGCATAATTTAGAAAGTTTGGTGACTGGCTTAGGACAAAAGAAAAGTGGTGCATACTGTATATAGCCTCACTGCTTGTAGAAAAATAATCAATACAGTTATAAATAAATCTGGGGGAAAAAAAATTTAATCTCTTAAAATGTTGGACTCACAAGGATCACAATAACTTTGCCTCCTGTTCAAGTGTTGGATATTTATTTATTTTTATATTTTGCATTTGAAAAACATTATCTGAGTCTTCCTCTCAATCTATGATATGTTTGGGTCTCAGGCCAAAAAGTGCATTTTAATGCTGTCTAAGCTAAAAGGTAAGTCAGTCTGCTGGAGGATAGCAAAATCAAAATGTTTTTGTCTATTCATGATGTTTGGTTACCTTAATAAATTACTGGAAACTAATACATTTTCATCAAATTGGTGAGTCATCACTTTCCTCTTTATTTATAAGCTGCCATGAAACATAATTTAAAAAAATCTAAAGCTTTGGTTTTGCTGTTGAGGCAAATGACTGTTTGGTTAACATGTCTATGATTTAAATTTGTTGAAGGACAGCTCTCGGATGTTTTATGCAAAACTAACAGCAATAAAGTGTGTTTAGAGAATAAAAGTTTGCAAATGTACCTAAAGTGGCTGCTGCTAAAATGCATCTAAAGATAAAACTGCAGTTCTAAATAATAAAGAGAGAATGTAAAAGAAAATGCCAAAAAAAAATGGAATATAGAGAAAAAGTCAAATATTTATAACTGTGCTCAAGAAGCCAATATTTAAAACTAGAACACAGAAATAGAGACAAAAGGCAGAGGTTAAAAAATTGTGTTTATGAATTTAATTCAAGGTACCGTAATTGAATTTTAATAAAAAAGCAGACCACAATTATTGAAAGTTTTCCGTACCGTGTAGTTAGTGACTATTAACAGTTAAATGTACAGTGAAATGAACTTAAAAATGGAGAAAGGCTCACACTAGTCTAACTATATCATTAACAGTCTGCTATACTATAAATCACAGATGGCCTAAAGAGATTAATCAGCTCACCTTCTCATTTTCCATCTAAAGATGTAGTTCAGTTGAGTCCTTATTACAAATGAATGCTTATCAAGCTTTACCTGGGAATTTGACCCAGATTTTCTTTTGTTTTTAGCATCAGCTGTATGTATCAAAGGTAAAAAATTCTAACATATTGGAATCTTTGAAGGAAATAAATGGCAAAAATGTTATATTATTCATATATATGTATTCAGTAAGTTAGTATTGTTTAATTAGTTATCTATATATTAGCTATCACTTAATTTTTTTTAGATAAAACATTTTAGATAAATTATTTTTCTGGTTAACTAACTATTTATAAAAAAAACACACATGCGCAGCCAAAGGTCAGTGCTTTTGTGGAAACACGGCAGCTTGAGGTCAGATTAACAAAGATGAGGGCCAGTTGGCCCAGCCTGAGCCAGGTTGGTGTTAAGACGGAAAAGTAGATCAGTGTCTGAGGATATAAAAACCAGTTCAAACATTGAGTCTGTCAGAGACATACTGAACGGCACATCACAACAGGTATCTAGATCAAGAGAATTGCACATTCAAAGGATTTATATCACATCTACCTGCTGTAAAACTGCCACCATGGTCCTGGAGGAGAACGAAGACTCCGTCTTTGAGCCCCAAATCACTGTGAGTATGTGAAAAAAAAGGCTGAAGTGACAAGAGCTGCTTAGGCCCAAAGATATTGTATTTTATTTCATTTCAGTTGTTCTTAGGAAACTGTAACTTTCAACTCACTGTAGGTGTTATGTACATATTGATATTGACACTTAAGGCAGAAGACCTAAAAAATAAAAACAAGCCAATAAAATCAACTATTTTTATTTGCCAATTGGCCATACATGTGGGGGTGCACCCTGAAGAAATGCGATCTGAATGATTGAATGTAATTGTTTTTTTAGGAGGAGTATGTGGAGACTCAGTATGGGGACATCCACTGCATCATGACAGGAACTCGAAAAGCAAACCGGCCTGTCATCCTGACCTTTCATGATGTTGGACTCAACCGTAAGTCCCCGCCCTCCCACAGAGCAGCTCAGTGTGATGTTTTGTTTTTAAAGAAATCCTTTTCTGTCCAATATCATATTATGGATTCACTCTGAAAGGGACTTTTCTTAAAGTCTATTTATTGGATTTTACATTTTAATTGGACCCTAATAAGATCATTTTATCCATATTTTAATGTTTTCAAAAATCAAATATTTCTTATTTGTTATTTGAATTATGTGAAAATCTTAGTAAAAGCAGAATATAAAAATCAAATTATAATATTTTTTTGTGTGCTTGTTTTTCCATACAGACAAATCCTGTTTCGAAACTCTGTTCAGCCATGAAGACATGCAGGAAATTGTTCGCCATTTACCTGTTTGTCATGTTGAAGCTCCTGGACAACAGGAAGAAGCCAAAACGCTGCCCGCCGTGTGAGTAAATTACTTTGGTATTCATTTCCCTTCAAGTCTTAAAAGAACTTTAATAGGACTGATGTGAATGCATCCCATTAACCAGTATTGATTTCCATAAATTACCCCCCTTTACCCAGAGATAGTACAGGCTAAATTACATAAAATGAATAAAGTAAAAGAAAAAAGAAAAATTTTAGTCTAGTTTTTAAATTACATTTACAAACCTTGTTAAACACATCACACGTATTGTAAAAAATACTATAACATTTAATAACACATTTCCACAGGTGTGTATCCCCGCTCATGCCGAATTTACATAACACTTGTGCATTCACAGACACATAAAAATTATCTTTCTGCATTTTCTGACAACCTGTATCTGGTACCCCTAATATTTTGAAAGTTAAATTTACTTTCATCAGACACTTTGTTTTTAATTGACCTCTAAAAATAAGGTTTGAGTAAAGATATCGATTTGATCATCTTTTAGACTTAGATTGCAATTTGTGAGTGAGCTACTATTTAACGAAAGCTTAATAACTGCTAATAAACCTGACATTTGACCCCTCAGGTACACCTTCCCTACCATGGACCAGCTCTCAGAGGTCATTCCTGCTGTCCTCAATCACTTTGAGTAAGACAAGACGGTCTAAATGACAAACATTTTACCTCATGTTCTGCTTCATCTTGAGTAATGCAGCTCTTCTCCATATGCTTTGCAGTCTAAACAGTGTCATTGGTGTGGGAGTTGGAGCAGGAGCTTACATTTTGGCCAGATTTGCAGTAAGTCTGATTTATTTTCAGCTACATTGAAATCTCAAGATGGTCCTCCTTCCCATAACACTTTGAAATTAATAACCCCTGCTTTTATTTTTGTTTATTGCTCTATAATTGTCAACAGGTGTCAACAGTTACAAACCAGGTCAAAATAAAGGTGGTAATTGTCATGGGTAACATGGCTGTTCACCCAGGGCCACATCTGTTGGACCCATAACAATGAATTTGTTTTCATTTTGATTTTAGGTCAACCTTAGATACAAACATAACCGGAATATTTAATTGTGTTATCTGGACAAACTTTTTTTTTTTTTTTTTTTGTTCTCACAGCTACGAGTAAAAAAATAAAATCCTTGGGGTCCCTTTTTCTCACACACCTTTTTTCTCTCACAGTTTAATTGTGTAATTAGTCAGAATTTGGACGACTAATGCTTTGTACTTATATCGCTAACGCTTTTTCCCAAGTCAGGAGACTTGACCAAAGTGCTTTACAATACATTCACTCATTCAGCCATTCAAACACATCTGCCCTCATACCACTACATTAAAAGCCGGAGCTTAAACCAATAGGGGGAAATTCTGCATCTTATACCACTGTTGCCCCATAGGATTGGTGTGTTATGTAGGAAAAGCAGAGATGATTTCCCCCATTTTGTTTATGGGTCATAAATTGGAAATCTGCGAAGTACCAGTATAGTTATGGATAGTTTTAAGGATCTGCAAGTGATTGATAGAGGTGGCCAATGTAGTGGGAAATACTTTACATTTGTATGATACATCTTCATAGTAATAAAAAACTTTTTTGCTTTGCTCCTCCTTGTCCTTCATCAGCCTGAAATTGTACCCTCTGCTGTTGTGTTGACGTGTTTTGTTTCCTGATAGTGACATAAGCTATAGAGGCTTTCTATAAGTTTGGCGGCTTAGCGTATTATGAAGTGTGAATACTCAGAGGCAAAGCAAACTTTTCTTTTAATTGCCAACTCAAGAATAAATAAAAAATTCTCAGTTTTTTGGAGTACTGTTGATTTAACTAGTATGTGAGGGATCATGCAGGCAGGGCAACAGAGACAGGGGCTCGCTCAGAGCAGCTTTTATACTTTAATGCATAAACACATACAGAGATGCCATACCAGTGAGTTTCCTGACAGTGGAAATGAACAGCTGACAAATTCCTTCTGCTTTCTTCTGTGTTTAGCTGAATTACCCCGACTTGGTGGATGGATTGGTTCTGATCAACATCAACCCCAATGCTGAGAGCCTAATGGATACTGTTGCAAACAAGGTACAGTATATACAAATGCTTGGTTGGCCCTTCCACCTTTAAACATCCACATACTGTAAGCTTAAGAATCTGAGTTGGTCTTAAAGGGTCAAATATGTAATAGTTTGACGTAAAATCCATTCCTTGTATAAGAAGCATAAAGTTCTGGTCACCTATGAACCTATAAAAGTACAGACTCAGTGCTTCATGCATCTCAGGAGAAATAACATCAGCTGGACAGTATCAATCAACTGCATTTGATTGATACTGTGATACTTTGCAAACAATTAACAAGCATATAAAATAAAAATCAGAAAACAAAAGAAAAATAGTCCATGAGATATTTTCAGCATGAAGTCTTTCATAAATACGGTTTCAGTCGACCTTTACTTAAGTTTGACTTCTTCATAATTAGCATGATAAAAATCTATAATAAATTAACATGGATGGTTGATAAACTGTAAAGTCTGTGTAATTTTTATTGCCTGAACAGCATCATGCATAAAATGTATTCAATGGTTCGTTTTTAGGGGAACAGAGTAGAGCACAGAAGTTTTCCGTTATTCATTTCTTATTTGGGCAATATGTTTTTTAAGTACTCTTAGGACAAAATTCGTTAGGAGGCTCTAAAAACAAATATGTAAATTGATTTTGTATTTCTAAAAACTGCATTGATTTCCATTCCAATTTATCTAACTAAATTAAAGTTAACTGTCATTAGTTATCTGTCATAGAATTACTATAAAAATCAAACTGATAAATATGCAAATAAGACAACACTTAAAATGCTTACTGTATCAAAAGGGCTGTTTAATTAATAGACAATGTATAGTTATAGGTGTAGTTGTCTTGCAAAACATATTTTTTCAGAATGTCAATTTACTTCATAGTTGCCTAATTTTTGCAGATTGCAGAAAATTGCATGATATTAAAGCAAGGTCAACCATACTGTGGTGTTTGATGGGCCCCAAATTGAGTCCCTCTTAGGAGCTTTTAAATATGAATATGTAAAAATGATCGATTGTGTTTGTGTTATGCTGTAGATTACCGACTGGACCCTCACTCTCCCAGACAAAGTTATCACACACCTTTTTGGAACGGTAAGGTATCTTGATAGCCGTTTATATGTTCACTATAAAAATTAAAGCAAACGTGTGACATGCATACTTCCTTACTGCTAGGATGAGATCCAGGCCAATCAAGACCATGTGACTACATATCGTCACTATATCACAACAACGATGAACCAGTCCAACGTGAGTCAGTTCCTACGTTCCTACAACAACCGCAATACCCTGGAGGTAGAAAGGCCTGTCGCTGGAGGGAATGTTAATGTCAGGACCCTCATGTGAGTAAAATAAGAGATTTAAAACTAGGGTTGAACATTGGCAGTACCTGATAACTAATCCTCTCGGTTCTGTTGGATCACGCTACAGGTGCTCCTCCCTGTTGGTTGTTGGGGATAATTCTCCAGCCGTGGAAGCTGTGGTCGACTGCAACTCTAAATTGAACCCTACGAAAACCACACTACTTAAGGTAAACATACGAATGCTAATGAGAACAGTATTGAGCTAATTCAGCTACACAGAACAGCAGAATACAGCACAGATGGATGTATTATTACTGCATTACAGCAAACAAAACATTTGAAACACTGTCATGCAGTGGTTACGCCCCTCTATCAGCTTTCCCTTTCTCTACCGCAACACAGACAACAGAAAGTGAAAACAGTCCCCTCAAGAAGCCCTTTCTACAATTTTTCTGAACCTTTTAAGTAAAAGTATATTATAGAAAAGAGATGTTATATTGAAAGCTTCATGTTGTGAGCGGCAATTGTGCCACCCCAAAGGCTGTGCCGCCCTGGACAATGAGCCACATTTATAACACATCAAAATCCTGTTCTGCTGAGATTTCACTTTATACTTGAGCATTCATTTTTAACCATGTCTTGCAGAAAACATAAAATTTTCTGATAAAACAGTTAGGAAAAAACTGATAAAACAGTGAAGCAGTGGGTTGCAAAGCTGCCTTGTAGCAAGAAGGTTCTGGGTTTGATTCCCAGGCTGGGGACTTTCTGCATGGAGTTTGCATGTTCTCCCTGTGCATGCATGGGTTCTCTCCGGGTACTCCGGCTTCCTCCCTGAGTCCTAAAACATGACTGTTAGGTTAATTGGCTTCTCTAAATTCTCCTAGGTGTGAGTGTGTGCATGAATGTTGTTTTTCCTGTTTGCCCCTGTGTTGCCCATAGATAAAATGACGACCTGTCCAGGGTGTACCCTGCCTCTCACCCATAGACAGCTGTAGAGAGGCTCCAACACCCCTTGGAACCCCAACAGGGATAAGCTTGACGAAAAATGGATGGATAAAACAGTATGTGCAATTAAGCTTTAATTGTGACTTTATTGCTTTGTTCCAGATGGCAGATTGTGGAGGACTTCCTCAAGTCGACCAGGTATGAGAGTAAGCTAAAAGAAAAGTAGTCTACGCTTCCCTATTGGTGACCTAATGGGTTAATGTTTTATGTTTCTTTTTTGTTTGTTTTGTGTTTCTCCTCATAGCCCGCCAAAGTGATTGAAGCTTTGAAATATTTTATCCAGGGAATGGGATACTGTGAGTAAAAAATATTACACTATGTGTGTACTTTATTCAGTGAGCCCTTGCACTCCAAAAAACTCTTCTAAATACTTAGGTACAGCTGAGCCGGCATGTCTAATGAAGTCACTTTATTTTTTTTATATTTTCACGCCATTGTTGTTTTTTCAATCCAGTTTAATCTTGTCATTCTATAATCTTAATAGCAGTACAATGCAATAACAAGGCGTTGATCATTTTTCTTTCAGTGTCCAGCGCCAGCATGACCAGGCTTCGCTCACGGACAACCTCCAGCTGCAGCAGCATCTCGCTTGATGGCTCACGAGGCCGTGCACAGACCAATGAGCATGGACGAACACAATCAGAAGGCACTGAGGAGAAGTGTGGGTGTGCGCACACTGATGTCTCCATGGAGAGTATTTCTACTATAAGCCATAACATCTCAAACACCACTGAAGTGGCATGCTAGAATAACAATGCTACTTAGACAAAACTCTTTATACCTGCACTTATACCTTTATTATTTCCTTTGCTTTCAGAAATTATGTTATTATATTTAATTTAAATATGAAGATCACATATCATATTTTAAGTTATTTCATTCTTTTATGTTACCCGTCTAATGTTGTCCTCTATTATCTGAACCAGTGGCTTGTATCAGCTGTAGGCTTCATTGTTTTTTTTATTTTGTCTATAAATAAAGTAGAGGAGTAAAAAAAAGGTTGCCATGTAATTCTTCTGAAAACCAAAATGTGTTTGTAATTAGTCCTGCTTGGATTTTGAGTTCAAAGTTGTATTTATTGAAAAACAAACCCTTTTTATATCTATAAAAGGGTATAAAAAGGTTATAATTGTGAAACTGAACTGTGCTGTGTAATCATAAATCTCCAGTAATTAACTTCCTGAGCATGAATACCAAAGTGTTAGAAAAGGACAGTTCTAAAACACAAATGTGACTGCCTTTTGCAATGTGATAAATATTCTGTGAACATCTTCTCAAGACATTGTTCACCTAATTGTTCCTTCACAATGTGAAGGAAGGCCATCTAGTCTCTCTAATCTGGCTAATAAAGTAACAATGCACATGACGTATAAAGCATAAACCTAACAAAATGGAAGAGAAATCCATTGTGATTTCAGGTATGGTCATTTAAAAAATATATATTTATTGAAAAAATATGGCTTTCAACTGTGCTTTGAGTTTCTTTTCAACCCTAGAAATATGGAGTTCAGAAATATTATGGACTGAAATATAGCCAATCTTTTTGACAGACAAGATTTAGACTATGTGGCTATTTGTGTTTGCCAAAACATAAAAGACAATTTCAAAAGAATTATGTCATTTTATATAGGGTTTAAAGAGAACACTTTGGGCAAGGCATTAGGATAAGTTCAATAAAGATGTTCAGTTTGTGTGATCAAAAATAGCTAGGAAGGATGAAGTTTGATTCGATGTGATATGAAGGAAGGAAGGAAGTATACAAGAGGATGAATGCAAGAGGAAGGAAGGAAGGAAGGAAGGAAGGAAGGAAGGAAGGAAGGAAGGAAGGAAGGANAGGAAGGAAGGAAGGAAGGAAGGAAGGAAGGAAGGAAGGAAGGAAGGAAGGAAGGAAGGAAGGAAGGAAGGACGAACGGATGGATGGATGGATGGATGGATGGATGGATGGATAGATAGGCCACTAGATGGAGCAATATACCAAACCTCAATAAAAAGGTTAAGTTGTTTCAGTCAAGACTTTTTTCTTCCTGCTTCTAAGCTCTAATCCCTTTAACATTACACTGTCCATTTATTTTGTCATTTGATTTATGCAAGATAGTCCTTAAAACTCTCCACTTAATCTATTATCAATGACACCAATATGCGAATGTTGTTTACAATTATGGCTTACCATGGCATAATCATTGCATCTATATTTCTTAATCCATCACAAAGTTCTCAGTGCCCTATTATCATAGTTTGTATCTCTGTACAAAGACAAGCTGCGGCTTTGCTTTGTGTCTGCATGAACTTGTGTTAGTATGGAGATCAGCTGCATGCATGTGTAGGTGGTGCTGTTAGTGTAGGCCCATGAGAAGATGAATTGTTCTGAGCTTTGAGAGGGAGATGGCTGTGATACAGATCCAAAGCATTATAAAGACAGCTAGCATCAAAGTCACAATTATTTGGTTTATGCTTGCACTTATGTATGCGCGTAGGTCTCGGGGGCTTATTAATTTCAAAGCTTCTTTTGTCTGGCTTTCATTAGAATGCTGTGATGAATTATTCATGGGAAAAATCTCCAAAGACTTCAGATAAACATAAGACTTCAGTTCTCACTCAGTTAGTCTCCTATAAACATTTGAAGTGTTGTTTCATTTTGATGCATGTGCAATCTGTGTGTAGTTCCTTTTGCTATAATAGAACATATCAATAGCCACACTGCACTTTATGAAAATAATAATGCTGCAACAATTATTCCACATTCATTCACAAAAGGATTAGTAAGAAAGCAGCAAAACAAAAGACAAGGCAAGGCATTGCCCCAGGCCTCAATCAAGGCCTGCACATCATCCAGTGTCATCTATGACCTGGGCCTTGCCCCACAGCTACATAAATGTACATAAATGCCTCGAACACAGGGGCTACATTCTTCGTTGTGTGTTTGCTGTTTATCTCAACTACGCTGGTGATATAGCTTATTGTCATACATTCTAAAGGATTCGGTGTAGAATGGTGATTGTGCAATCTGGACACATCAAGTTTGATGTCTTATTAGATCGCAAAATTCACACAGTTTAGGAAAGTTAGTTTGTTGGTCCTATTTTTTTCTTTCTTACTTTATAGCGCTAGTGCCAGTATGCCCCAGTCCCATCCCTCAACACCACATTGATGTATTGATTGATTGACGTTACTAATCTTACAGTAGAGAAATTTACTCGTTACATTGGCTCAAATAGTCAAATAGAAATGCATTTTTCAAAGAGCTGTAATAGAGCGTACACTTGTCACCAGTAGCAGCAAAAGCAGTTAACCTGTCAGCAGTACCAGCAGCAGTACTCACATAAGGTGCTACTCACCATTGAAGGAATAACAAACTCCCCTTTGCTTCTCAACCCCAAATTAGCTGGGAACACCTTTAAAACCAAGCCAAGCCTTCTAAGACCCCTTGTGCACTGCATGCAAAAACTTCGATGTTGGATTTAAAAAGAATGTTCACTCTATCATCCCCTCATGTTCTTACTTCGGCCTCATGCTGTACATCTCCGATTGTATCTTGGACTGTTTATAAAAAACTCATCATCCTCCTTCTTTCTTGCCCCATCTTTATATAATCATTATGTTACCTTTTTCATCCTTATCACTGTCTGCCTATTCTGTGCTCTCCTTTGTCTTCGTCATAATTGTCCTCTCCTGCATCTATACTTCAACCTCCACATTGTCTCTATTAATCACCTCTCTTACACTGACAATAGAGACAATTCCTGTTTTTCAAGGACTCCTCTTAAGTCTCTCTCTTAAGTTAAATTATTATTCAATGAAGGGGCCCCAGGGGGTCCACCAGTTTCAAATCCAATACGCCTAAATTCTCCAATGAGGAGACACAGGTGACTTCACTTCTGCCTCAAGTACCAGCTGTGTAGTTGTCCGATAAGGGTTGCTTCCTCATAAAGTGTGTGTTTCTGAATGGAAGTCCAGGGAGGTCCAGGGCTAAGTCTGAAGAGCTCCCTTCATCAACCATCAGGGGCTCCTCAGTCATAGTAAAAAAAAACAAATCTTCTTCCTAGGTCCAGTGGCCTCTCACTTGTTCTGTAGCCATTTTCCTGAGCTTCTTCTATATATCTGGATTCTTTCTAACAACCTGAGATCCATAGTGTATTCCTGAGGCTAACCTGCTTTTCTCCAGAGCACATCCAATATTCAGTCCATCTTGAATAAGTGGCTCATTTATGGATCTGTGTTACCTCAACAAATAACTATCTCCTCTTGTTGTGTCTCAGCCTCCCAACTGGCCACCAGGACAGGCGTCTGTGGCTAAGACGTAGACCTCTAAAGCTCGCTTTGTGGATCAAGGGACTTATGTGGCTTTGTGTTTATTTTTTAGGTTTTGGTTCTATTAAAATCTTTTTGATTCTTGTTTATATATTTTTTTCTGATTTGTTTCTTGGTTTATTAATCACCTTTTGTCAATTTTCTGCTTTGGATCTTCTAAAGCTGCTCTAAATTCTCCTGATTATTCACAGCTGGTTCTCATTTCACTCATTAAAGCTCCTATTGATTAAAACCCTCATTCATTTCCTCACTTTCTTGGCAGATTTTTCTGGCCTCAATTGTGTTACCTTTATTCCTCTTTTCCTGTGTTCCAGTTGGTTTATTTTTTTCCAGTCTGAGACCTCTTTTCTTTTCTTTTTTTTTTCTTTTTTTAGCAAATACAGATCCTAGTAATTTATTTTCAGTTATAAAAAAAAATAATAAATAAGCAAACATTATACCTAGGCTTCATTTCTTTTTAATATCTAAAACTATAGAAATATGCCATCACTCTAAGTTTGCCCTTTTTCTTGTATTATTGACACTCCCACATGTCATGTGGTGGCAAAAACATGGGTTACCACCCATATATAGTAGGGTTTTTTCAGCATCAGGCTGTTAAAACCTTGCTGTTTTTCCAACAAAGTATTTAACTACAAAAAAAAAATACTAATTAGTTTAGTAAAGCTTTGTATCTTAATTTTTGTCCTATTTTCTGAACATTTTTTTTTTTCTTTTTTTTTTTTTCTTTTAGGTGGTTATCTAGTGCTAATCTAGATCTAGTCCTAATTAGTCCTAATTAGTTTTTTGTTATTGCTTCTTCTAATATAATTTTCTTGAAATTTCTTTATGTAATAACATTTATTTACAAAGCATCAAAAAAACTTTAGATGTTAGGGGAGTATAAAAACATGCAAAAAATTTTATTTGACCAGCCTCATGCTAAGAATTAATCCAGCTTCATGGTGCCGGTAAGTCAGGATTGAGACTTCTTGGTACAGGCCTCAGATCATTTGCAAAACCAAAAACATAATGAACATTTAGAAAGAAGAAAATGAAAGATTTTCTTTGAATCTCTTTTTTAATACTCTCTCTGAGCATCTTGTTTATGCCTTTACAGAGGGTCTGGTCTCATATGAGCTGGCAATTGCACTTTTCCCAACGTCATCACCTTTTTGCATGTTTGTTAATGCTGTGATCCAGCCATAGGAGAGAGAAATATCAACATCCGATCAAAAACACTCTAAAGACCTTTAAAACTAAAGATGAACTCTTTAAAATGATTCCATGTGTTTAATAATATTCTATCTAAATTCAGCCATGGCCTGCTGCTGCTGGATCTGACAGCCTGTCAGGGTTTTAAAGGAGGAGTGGGGAGAAACAGAGTGATTAATGCTTTAATGTATTGCCATCAAAGTCTCCAACAACACGGAGACAAAAAAAAGAAATCTGGTACGTTTATCACCAGTCTTTTTTTTAAACAAATAGTCATTAGAGTTGCTGAATATAGCAGCAAAGCTACTAAGTTGGCAACAACGATGAGCATCTCCTCCTTATGGTCTGGAGCCTCTCTGTAATAATAATAATTATTATTATTTAACTTTATTGATCTCACAATGAAGAAATTCCCTTCTGCATATTAACCCATTCACTTGGGGAGCAGTGGGCTGCCACTGAGCAGCACAATCAGGGGTTAAGGGTCTAGCTCAGGGACCAACAGTGCATGCTGTGGGGATCGAACTGAGTACTTGCAACCTTCTCAGAGCACAAGCGCACTGCTCTAACCAATGGTTTTTGTGCACCCTATACATTTTTTGTGTTTTCTAGTGTAATCTTTATTAATGCAAGTCTCATTTCTTCATTTGCACTACTTTGCCTGATTCCTTGCAGTTTCTTATGTTTGCAGGGCGTTTGCAGCCCGCACCCACATAAAGATCAAACAAAAGCTCTCAATAATTTAGATGTTTAAAAAAATGTGCATCATAAATAAAATTATGAATACCTCGAAGCACATGCATCAACCCTATTAGAATTTCAGATTGGGGTTGTTGAGAAGAGGACTGTACCGTGGAGTGCTATTGTGGCACGGTTTTCTTGCAGTAAGATCACCCTGGGTTCAATTTCTGTCCAAGGGTCTTTCTGCATGGAGTTTGTGTTGTCTTCCTGTGGAGGTATGGACAGGTATGGTCAGAAACATGACTTTTATGTCAGTTGGTGACTCTGAGTTACCCTTGCATGGTTGACTAACTTATAGGGCTTTGGTTTATTGTTCCAAATTGGAATATTGATATTTTAATTAACAAGTAGCCACATTTTTTTTTAGGTCTAACTCCTGTTTTAGCAATGTTTAGAAATAATTTCATAAAAATGCATTTTCATAACAAGGGGCTTGTTGTTAGAAAAAAAAAAATCCAGAGCAGCATTTCCTCAGATAAAACAATTATATGTATGAGTGAGTGGACAGTGGGCCCCTGTCATGCAGCCAGCTGCAGCCATGTTGTTGAAAGCTGGCTCCTCCAGCAGCAGCAGCGCTGTCAGCTAACGGCAGTGGACACCAACAACCGGGCACGGCGCTGTTGTGGACGACAGACTGCGAGAGGAACCCAAACCCCGAGCCGGTGCCCTGATACCTGCGGATATAGTCACTACATGAACCGCTTCTGATTGGAAAGAGTGAGCGGCTTCAGAGACGAGGAGCGGCCGGAGAGCTGCGGGCTGAAGCGGGTGAGCATTGATCCCTGTTTGGGGGCGGATTGAGTGGGAATAGCCCACCGCTAGCTCAGCTAGCTTAGCATTAAAGAGGGGCAACACACACAGGGACAATAGGGTTAACATGAACGTTTCACGCCTAGGTGCGTTTTTTTCGGGTGCTGCGAAACAGAATCGTGGAAAATGTGGATTATCTTTTAGGAAATAATGATTTACTTGATATCACGAAGTCATTTGTATTCCTCACATACAAACAGTGGTGCAGTGGCCGAAACCAGCCCTCTGTGTTTCTCCCTAAAGGTACAAAGGTCCAAACCAAGGTGCGTTTCTGCCACAATGAGCTTTAATACTCAGGTGAAACATCCGTTTGAAACATCAGCTGGTTAATAGTCTGAGGTTTTGTGTTGGAAGCTTTCTGTGCATATATAAGAAAATAAAAAATCTGGGAGCAGCTCTTTCTCATGCCTGATCGTAAGTTTATTAGGTTGCTCCTGCCTTATGGATCACATTATGGACAGATGTTCCAGTGAATACATATTACTTTTTGAAAAAGATGCACTCTATTTGTGTTTATAAAACAAAGCTGAGATTGAGTCTATGTTGTGTCGCTCTGTGGTTGTGATTTCTGTTTCCTTCCTTTGGCTTCTTTCAGTGGTTTTTGTTGAAAGCTGTTCTTTTTGGCTGTGGCTATATCTTTCCACCTGCCTCCACAGCTCTCTCTCTCTCAGCATTACCAGGACACTGAAGTCCTCTAATTGTTGAGAAGGGGTCTGTGTTTACTCAGAGAACCAAACTACAGCAATTTAGGTTTCCTTTTAATATTTTAAAAGATTAAAAAACTATCTTTCATCCTGGCTAGTTTTCCTAAAGGTAGTCAGCAGTCTGTGTTGTCCCTGCAGAGTAATTTATATCTGCGCTTTAGCTGTGAGATTCCCCAAAACATTTTGTAGCAAGAAGAAAGTATACAAAATCAAGCTTTAAGTAGATGTATTCGATATTTATTGTAATTGTAAAAAGCACTCCATCTTATCCTGTATAGGAGGTGATGTTACTGATCTTTCTGTATCCCTGCTTCTGTCTCCTTGAACCCCAGTCGGCCTTGGCAGATGGCCGCTCACACTGAGCCTGGTTCTGCAGGAGGTTTCTTCCTGTTAAAAGGGAGTTTTTCCTCTCCACTGTCGCTACAAGCATGCTTACTGTGAGTGATTGCCTTGGAGTCAATGAGTGGATGCAATCAATAGTTTTTTTCCTTAGATAAAACACCTTGAATCAATTTGACTGTATGATCTGGTGAACTGTAAAGTACCTTGAGATCACATGTTGTGAATTGGCGCTATATAAATAAACTGAATTAAAATGTTACAGGATAAAGCACATACTTTCCAGGTGCTAGGTGGGTTATAAGTCTAAAATTCTTTTTTTTTTTTTGAATATATTTTTAAAAAAATGTTTTTGTTTTGCTT